GCAAATTTTAGAAAAAACGCACCTAGTTACAAATGAAAATGTTTAAATAGGATACAGAAAAACAGCCGTAAAAATAACTATTCATTTAAGAAATTTTTACAAACCAAATGTTTCAGAAAAATGCAAAACCCGTCAAAAGTTTTTGCATTTAGTGTCTTTTTCGGTTCTCGTTTAATCTAACAAATTTTGACCTGATCTAATTTTTAATTTAAACTATATTTAAATCATCTATCCATAAAATGAATGCTCTCAGTCATGAAAAAAAAATTTTCCAAAAAAAATGTTTCAAAAAATTAAAAAGTTGATGACCATCGAAAAGTTCAATTCTGGCAATTTATCATCGATCAACATCATAAAAATTTTTAATTCAAATTTAACTAACTACTTGAATTTTAAATTTTTTAAACGATGGTAGTTAAAAGAATGGAATAATTTTCGTTACAAAACAATGTTTTTTTAAAAAACTTAAAAAATCGCCAAAATCAAGAATGTAATCTTTTTAGCGGGTGTATTTAAAAATTTAATTCCATTAATAATTTTCAATTAATTTTTAGAAAGTTCCCGAAAATTTCTCATTTTTACAAAAAAAAAGGTTTCGAAAAAATTCAAATTACCGGTCGATTTAACACCTTAATTTTTCTTGTATGCTGACGATCGCTACGAAAAATCGCCTATTTAAAAGTAAAATAATGGATTTATAATTTAATTCAAATTATCTATAATATTTTGCGAATTTTTCGATTTTAATTTTTTCATTGTTTTGAAAAATAGCCAACATTACGTCAGTTAAATTTAATTTCAGTCAAATCTTTTAAACTGACCCATTTTTTTTAACTTGATGGTACTGATGAAAAAGAAAAATTTTGCCTAAAAAATGTTTCAAAAAAATTAAAAAGATCGCCACAATCAAAAAAGCTAATCTTTCTTCGGAGCTGTATTTAAAAATTTAATTCCATTAATAATTTTCCATTATTTTTTAGAAAAATTATTGAAATGCCAATTAAGTAGATTCATTAAATTAAAGAAGTAGAAGAATAAAATCGCGGTAAAAATTGAATTAAAAAGGTTAAAAATGTTACTTTGATGGATTTTAAAAGCTGATTTAAATTTTTTAAATTAAATTAAATTAAATTATTAATTCGTTACTAAAATGCGAACCCATTGCTGGTTGATTTTGGCGAGGACAAATTCGATGAAGCTGTCGATTTTCTGTTTGGCGGCTTTTCGAAGCCTTTTCGGCAATTTTTTCTTCTTTTTCTTCTTGTCCTCCTCATTTCCGTCTTCTCTCTCTGCCTCTTCTGTTGATTCCTCCTCCATTAATGCATCCACGAACAGACGCTCGCCTTCCTGAAAAATTCCCCAAATTGACTTTGCTTGCTAACCCGCTTTTTCTTGCTGTCACCATCGCTTCAAAATGCCGCACAGAATCTCAGCTAGCTTGCCATTCGGTGAACTGGCTGCCAGTTTACCAATTCCTAATCCCTGAATGGTCTCTGCTAGCCTACCCTGCTCTTAAATACTCCCTGCTAGCTTGCCAAGGCCCATTCTGGCGCAAAAAAAATGAACCGATTACGCTATAAAATCCCCTACGAGCCTTAAATGGTCCACAGCATTCCGACCTTTACCAGTTGTGTTCGTTTGTTCTGGACAGGATGGCAGGCATACAGGGGAAGGGAGAATCTGCGCTCTGGCCCCGTCCCCTGTTCTCTTCCCCCGTACCCTATAGCCTAGTCTCACTCTTTCGCCGCCTATTCTGCGCCCCACCCCTCCCCTGTGTGTCTGCACCCCGCCGTCTGGCGCACTATCCGCCAGCCTACTCACGAACACCGCGGAATCATGTGGGTCCCTGCTAGCTTGCCATTCGCTACACTGGCAGACAGCTAATCGATTACGCTTCCAGATTCCGCGAAAATCCGATGGCGCAATCGATTACGCGATAAATTCCGTAAAAATCGAGAAAACTTCGGGAAAAATGCACCGATTAGGCGATGAAATCCTCCTTAGATCCGCAAATGGTCTCTATTAGCTTGCCAGTTGCTAAACTGGCGGCCAGTTAATCGATCACGCTTTGAAATTCCGCGAAAATTCGATGACGTAACCGATTACGCGATGAAAATCGATTAAAATCGTCAAAATAAACCGACTACGCCTTGAAAATCACCTCATCATCATCAAGGAGTGCAGCCGTCTCGGCCATCTCCTGTTCTCGCTCGGTCATTTGCATCACTTGTTCCAGGAGCTCTAAATAAATACCGTACGCTTGAGAAGCTACAGTAACCCACGGTCCTTGGTGATATTCTCATCATCTTCGACAAGTCTCGCCGCCGCCCTCAGCCCCGATTCCCCTCCCATCCGCGGGTTCTTCGCCACGAAACTGCGGTACATCTTCCGCGCCGCCGCATCGCCGCCTGAAAATGTGTTTTAAAGGCCGCTGGAAGGCAGAATTTTGGCTATGGATTTCTCAAGAATCTGCCTTCCATGGCCCTTTAAAGCGTGAGAAAATTGATTTTAATGCAGCATGGAAGCCAGTTTGCCAAACCCCGCCCCTTTTCCGGCCCAACGCCCCGTTCAAGGCCCCGGCAAGCCATAATTTTGGCTCCGGATTTTTCTAGAATCTGCCTTCAATGGGCCTTTAAAACGTTAGAAAATCGCTTTTAAAGCAGCATGGAAGCCAGTTTGCCAAACCCCACCCCTACCGGTCGAAGGACCCTCTAAAGGACGCGGCAAGGCGATTTTGGCCGGCCGCCCGGCCGCATCGCCGCCTACAAAACCAAAAAAAATTAAAAAGGTTAAATTAAACTAAAATAATTTTATTTTTTTTAGAGAATCATTTTAATATCTTAAAAATCTATTTAATCTCTTTATCAATTTCTAACCTTTTCCTAGTTTAAACTGACATCCAGGAACGCGAAAATATTTTTTATAATTTGTATGTTTCGTCCAAAAATCTTAAAAAAATGGTGAAAATTATTCATAATTGAGCACATCTCCCTTGGTCCGAATAATTTTAGTAAACCAAAACTAATGGGTTTAAATTATTTTTGTAGTTCTAAATATCTCAATGCCAGCCAGAAAGCCTAAAAATAATTTTGTAAAATGTTTATTCTACAATAAAATGTCGGAAATTAACATTTCATCGATTTTCGCCAACAAAATTTGAAGTTTTTTACTCTAAGAATTGTATTTATAATTTTTTCGATATTTTTTGGTTATTATAGATCAAACTGTCAACCAGTAGATACAAAAACAATTTTTGATTCCAATTAGAAAATACCGTAACCTAGAAAAATCGACTTACCCTGCAACTAGGGCCCACCGCCATCACCTCTGTTTCGAGGCTAAGTTTGAGCCGCGACGCGCTATAGAAAAGCGGCTCATTCTGGAAAAGTGGTTCTGTTCTATTTCGCGGGGGGAAAACTGTGCGGGGGGAAATATGTTTCACTGGACCTTGCATTTTTTCGCTATTTTCTCAGGATTTTTGCTTATCGACATTCGATAGAGCATCAAAAAATATAATAAGAGTTTTTGTTTTAGCTAAAAATATTGCAATATAAATAAGTTACAGCAAAACAAAAAAACTATTGAAACTCCTTCCGGAATGTTAGTTTTCTGGCATTTGGACATTTTTTCGATATTTTGAACTTGTCATTCGATAGAGCATCAAAATATACTAAGAGTTTTAATTTCATCTAAAAATATTGTTTTATAAAATAGTTATAGCAAAAACAAGGTTTATTCGGTGTTTCCACATGGGATCGTGTAGTCGAAAGCTAGTTTTCGACATTTTCGATAACTTTCAAAAATTTCTTTAATGCCATTCGATAGAGCGTCAAAAATATACTAAGGATTTTAATTACAATTCAAATAGCATCATATAAAAGAGAGTTATAAAAAACTAGGAAAATTTCCCCCGCACAGTTTTTTCCCCCGCGAAATAGAACAGAACCGAAAAAGTCTATAAAACCCATGAAAACTATTTAATTGTATAACAATGCAAAAAATAAGAAGAAAAATTAGAAAAAAACAATAATTGTCAAAAAATTAAATTTTTAAATTTCCGGAATTGAATCCACTAAAATACAATTTCTAGGGTATAATTTTTGTTGTATTTTGTAGCCTGGCGCCCACAAAGTTCGTTCTATATATAAAAATTGTTACAAAAATAAAATAGGAAATTTTGAAAAAATCTAAATTCCGCGAATTTTCAAAAACCCAATCGACAAAAAAACAATTTCTACGGCCCATTTTTGGTTGTATTTTGTAGCCTGGCACCCAGAAACTGGATTTATGACGTGAAATCCCCTTGAAAGTAAGCAAAACAAATTTAGAACATAAAAAACCGCAAAAAACGCGCTTTAAATGCTATTAAATCATGTAATCTACTATTCTTAACAAATAGAACTTAATAAATTTCGTAACCAGACAGCTAAGACTCTCCGAAACTCGGCGCACACAAACAACCCCTTTTCTTGCAACTTTCCGCCCTTTTCCCTCTTTCCGGGGGTCCGGGGGGGTCTCGTGTGTTGATGGATGCCGAGAGGGCGCCGGGTACGGGTGTACGGGGGGGCGCCGCGTAGCCCAGCCCTGCGCGGAAAATCCGCTTTTTTGAGGCCATAACCTCTTCAATTTAACTGGTTAAACCCATCAATCGATGCAGAATTTCGGGGCGCACATTTCCAAAGTGGTTTCAGAACCTAAAAATTGATTTTTCGAGGTGAAAATTTGGAAAAACTGGTATGAGAGTACGGTAACCCGGTGTTCCTGTAATTTTCAAACTACAAAAAGTATTGCAAAGTTTTCCCCACTAGTCAGTTAGTAAACTCACAAAATTTCAGAACATTTGGATCCGTAGCTTTTGAGAAAAATCGAAAAGGAAATAGATTTACATACAAAATTTGAAATGTTTGATTTAAACCCGAGTTTTACGAATTAAATTAGCATTAAAAAGCGAGGGCGTTTACGCTCGAATCCAATCATTCTCCGCTCGCCAGCAAATTCGAATGGCGCTCATCCGGCCCTTCCTCCTTGTCGTTGTCTTTCTCTCGATGGCCGTCGTCGATGGTAGGGCGGACTAGCAGAGATTATTTGGGGAATTGCAATGGGCAACCAGTAAATGTAACTATGGGAAACTGTAAACTATCTGCCAGGTAACCGGCTTTTAAAACCATTTATCCTAAGAATCTAATAAGACCTTTGAGAACCTTCCAAATCACCTCGTGTTAGAGAGGTTATCTGAGAATTAGTGGGATGATAGCAGTTAAGAAACTGTAAACTGTCTAGAGTACCGAGCAGAGACCATTTGCGGAATTTCAGCGGCCACCCCTCCCACCCTGTACTGCCCTCAAAAGAATGGCCCGTGGCTGAACAATGGCACTCAATGCCAAAAGGAGTTCGAGAATCCAGAGAAGAAACGCCTCATCGTCTTCTCAGAGATTGTCGTCGAATCGGGCGATCCGAGCAGCTATCAATCACCCAGGAATATCATCAATTATGGTACGGTGGTTAAAGGGACCTCAAGCTATGGATTCTTGCCTTCAATGGCCCTTTAAAAATTGGAAATATGGATTTTTGAGTAGCTTGGATGCCAGTTTAGCAAAGCAGACATCTGTTTTTGTTTTTAATTGCTCTTTAAAGGACCGTTGAAGGCATCTTGCTACCCATGGATTCGCTATGGATTCTTGCCTTCAGTGGTCCTTTAAAGGTCCATCAATGGCTAAAAAGAAGTGTGATTGGTTAAACTGACATCCAATAAAAGCAAACCCACATTTTTCGAATTTTTAAAGGACCATTGAAGGCAAGATAGTCAATCCATAGTTAGATATTTGCCTTCAATGGCCCTTTAAAAAGCTTTAAAGAGATGGTGACAGCTAACTGGATGCTTTAGTGTGCCCCCAGCGCACGATCTGGTGTCCGGGCATTGTGAACGACACACAACACACGACGTTTGGATGCTATCTCGAGAATACCGTATCCATCACCAAGGAGGGCATCGCCTGTCATTGTGGTGAGATATTTTTGGAGTTTGAGGGTTGTGTTTTGTAGTCTGGCTGCCAGTTTAGCGATCACAACCGAAAAATAAACGTAAAATTCAAAAAGCAAAGAGTTGGCCGCGGACGGGAGTCGAACCCGGGTCTCTCGCCTGGGAGCGGTTTTGTAGTCTGTAGTCTAGATACAAGTTGTAGTTTGTAGTCTGGATGTCAGATAGGCGATTTCTAACAAAAGTTTAGCAAAATTTTCAAAAAGCAAAAAGTCAGCCGCGGCCGGGGGTCGAACTCGGGTCTCTGGCCTGGGAGCGGTTTTGTAGTCTGTACCTCAAATTAAGAGTTGTATTTTGTAGGCTGGCTGCCAGTTGAGGTATTGCAAACAAAAATTGGAGAAAATTTCCAAAAAAAAATATTCTGAACTGCTTGCAGTCGCCGTCGACAACACAACGGCCCCGAGACTGGACCATGCGCTCAATGAGGAACTGCAGAAGCTGCTTTACTTCTACCAATGGGTGTGTTTCTCTCTCAAATGGCCTCCGCTAGCATGCCCATTTTCATTTTTTTAGAATTTTTTAAATTGTTAAATTTTCTAAAAATCTGTATGATTGTGGCTTTCAAAAAAAACCGGAAAAACGATAAAAAAACTTTAAAAATCGTCTTAGGCAAACTGGACAGCCCCCCGCTAAGAGACCAGTACCCCAAATTTTCAGGACGCCACCCAGTGCACGAGCAAGGCGCCCGAAGAGCGACCCCGAGGCGTCAGCTTCCCGGTGAGTGTCCGAAATGCTCTCTGCTAGCATGCCCAGCCCCAAATCGTCTCTGCTAGCTGGCGGGTTAGCTAAACTGGCAGCCAGCGCATCCAATGACGCCTTTAAAATAGCACCGGGCAGGCTAGCAGAGACCGTTTGTCAGAAAACTCGGATTTTGGAGCCAAGAATCACTGTCAGCTTGCCTCCCAGGGCTCAAATTATCTCTGCTAGTTTGCCATTGACCAGACTAGCACCCAGTTAAAATATACCCGCTTCCCAAATGATCCCTGCTAGCCTGCCCCACCTAGCGCAATCGATTAAGCGACCTATATCCCCGAGTCGATTACGCTACGAAATTTCCTGCGAGCCGCCTGGCCTCAAAGCGTCTCTGCTAGCTTTCCGATCGTCGATCTGGCCGCCAGTGAATCGATTCCCACTTCGTAAATGGTCTCTGCTAGCCTGCCCCACCTAGCAGGACCGACTACGCGCTGAAATTCTCGAAAAAACGTGAGAAACCCCGATCAAGCCAATCGATTACGCCAGATAAATCCATCCGTTTTCAGTGGCCGACGTACTGCTCGGTGACGGGGCAGCCGTTCAACCCGGTCGACAAGTGCACCATGCATCGAGGAAGTGTCAATTCTGAGGTACGCGATTTCCGCCAAGAATCCCTGCTAGCTTGCCCTACATTCCGCAAATTGTCTCGGCTAGCTTGCCATTGTGGGAGCTGGCTGCCAGACTATCGGTTCCCGCTTCCCAAGTGGTCTCTGCTAACCTGCGCAATCGATTACGCGACCAAAACCCGAAAATCGCGAGAAAATCGAGAAAATAGATTACGCGATTGAATCCCCTGCAATGCTAAAATTTTCTCTGCTAGCTTGCCATAGGCCAACCTGGCTGCCAGTCTGTCGATTCCCACCTCCTAAATTGTCTCTGCTAGCTTGCGCAACCGATTACGCGACCCAAATCCGGGATTTTCAGCCGGAGCGGAAGAAGCGGTACGAGGAATGGGATCCGCGCGTCTTCTACTCGGAGCATCTGTTCGCCTATGATGGCTCGAGAACGCAGTACACATACGGTATCCCCTTCCATTTCCCCAAAGCGTCTCTGCTAGCTTGCCAGCTGAAAAATGGTGTCACTGCCCCTTTAAAACGAAATTTCGGAATCTCCAGGGTTGTAAAATCTCTACAATCTCCATAAAATTTATTTTCCTATCGACTGGCTGCCAGTTTTATCAAATGTCGATCTATCCTGACTTTAAAGGGTCATTGAAGGCAAAAAGCATAGCCGACCCAACGCAGGGAAGTAGCCTTCAGTGGTCGAAAAATTGGCTTCAATGGTCCTTTAAAGCGCCTTTAAAAACAACATTGGGTTGGGGTTTGCTAAACTGGCTGTCAGAAAACTCGAAAATCAACTTCTCAGAGCGTTCAAGGACCATTGAAGGCAGATTTCCACGAATCCATACCCAAAAATTGGCTTCAATGGCCCTTTAAACGCACGCCTCGTTTTAGCGTGTGACCTGTTGGAGGAGACGTTCTGCCTGTCGTGGCGGGACCCTGTGATGAATGCTTCATCCCCAGCCGGCTGCTACAGTGGCGCCTACCGGAAGAATATCGGCTCCGACTGTGTCTGTGGTACGGTACATACCGTAATTTCTTGCGAATTATCGTACCCCAGCCCGCTTGAAAACATGATTTTTAGACGTGCTGGACGAGAAAGTGAAACCGGCGCGCCAGGGAAACGGTGGGTGCAGCTAGCAGAGGCAATTTGCGGAAAAGACACAAATTTGGCCAAAAATTTGATTTTTTCGAAAACTCACTCCATAAAATTCGGAATATCGTGGATTTTTCTGTTTGTAGTTCGTAGCCCGTCAGTCAGATCGCTGCTTTTGAAAAACGATTTTCGATTCCCAAAGAATCTCCGGTTGGCTATCCGCCTCGAAAACGCGGAAAACGTCCGATTTTCAGGATTTCCAGAGGCTAGCAAGTTTCATTTGTGGAATTTGAGGGGTAAACTAGCAGCAGAAATTTGGAAATTGTAAACGGAGCAGGAGCGAGCAGAGGCACTTTGCGGAATGCAGGGCAAACTGGCGGAGATTTTTGGGGAATTCGCAAGGGGATACTGGAGGGGCAGGCTAGCAGCAATTAATTCGGGATTGAAGGGGCAAGCTAGCAGAGGAACTGTCGGAACCGCTAAACTGCCATCCATAGAAGCTAGCAGAGACAATTTGCGGAGTGCAGGGCAGGCTAGCAGGGATTTTTGAGGAATTTCGGGAATCGGGAGGCAAGCAGAGATTTTGAGGAAATCACAGGGCCGAAATTTTCATGTCGTAATTCCAGTTAGCTGGCAGCTGCTGGCCGCCTACGCCTCGTTGCCCAAGCCGTCGACCGGGCCAACCTGCGGCGCGCGAAAGCGCGCTTCGAACGCCCCAGCGATTTTGAGCAGCCATATACTTCGGTAGGGCAGGCTAGCAGAGATAATTTGGGATTTATTTTGCAGCCCCCGCCCCCCACCAACTCGACAACCCCGAACGGCACGACGACGACGACAAAGTACGATGAGCACCACCTCTGAGCATCCCATCGCCTCCACCAAGGCCGAGCAGTCCGGCGAGCAGGGAGCCGAGAATAAGCTCGAGGAGTACGTTTTGTTATGTGTAGCTTGTAGTCTGGCTGCCAGTTTAGCGATCCCCAAAAGAATTGAAATTCCTAACAAACTACAAAAAAAAAAGCCACAAAATCGCAATTTTGGCACTTTTCCGAAATATTCCTATTGACGCTTGGGGTACTATAAATGGGTTTTGACGGTTGTAGCTTGTAGTCTGGCCGCCAGTTTAGCTAGTAGAAATCAGAAAACAATCGAATTTCCAAAAAGCAAAAAGCTCGCCGCGGCGGGGATTCGAACCCGGGTTGCTCACCTAGTAGCTGTTTTGTAGTCTGTAACCCCGAAGTAAAAGTTGTAGTTTGTAGTCTGGCCGTCAGTTTAGCTTTTCTCTTCAAAATTCGAGCTTAATTTTTAAAACGCAAAAAGTTATCTCCCGGCGGGATTCGAACCAGGGTCGTGCGCCTGATAGCTTCGATGTAGTCTGTAGTCCATTTCTAAGGGCTATAGTTTGTAGCCAGATCCCATTTTAGCTATCCCAATCAAAAAGTCAGTGCGATTTTCAAAAAGCAAAAAGTTGGCCGCAGCGGGGAGTCGAACCCGGGTCCTTCCGTTAGTAACTTTTCTGAAGTTTGTAGCCTCTACCTAAAAGTTGCATTCTGCAGCCTGTCAGCCAGTTTAGCTATCCCAATCGGCAAATCAATGCAATTTGCGAAAAGCAAAAGTTATCCGCCGGCGGGATTCGAAGCCGGGTCGTTCGGCACGTAGCTCTTTTGTAGTCTGTAGCCTCGATCTAACGATTGTAGCCTGTAGTCTGGCTGCCAGTTTACTCATTCCCATCGAAAATTTTGAATTGCAGACGATTTTCTGCACTTTCAGCATCGCCGAGGACAAGCTGCTGGTGGATATGGGAAACCACTGGCAATTCCTGGTGACCCTGTTGGTGTTGTGTGTCCTTCTTTGCATCTGTCTCGCTCTCTCTGTCTGTGTTGCCAAACGATACAAGAAGAAGCGAGAGGCCACCATCAACAAGACTCCCTCAGCCTCAGCCACCGACAGGAGCGCCACCTCCCGAAGGTAGGTACGTGTCACCGTCCCTTTAAAAACCTTTTTGGTTCTTTGGCATTATCGGGGGTGCATTACTTACGCTGTATTTTACCATTCCTAAACGTCAAAACTTCCAAATTTTTACGAAAAAATACAAAAATATCGATTTTTCGACCAAAAAAAACCGTATTTTTACCGAAATTTCGTCTAAAAAAATGTTTGAGCGCTTTATTTCTTTGATTTGTCTAAAATCGATTTTCTATTTCTAAGCTGGTTTTTTTTATTTTTTTTAACGTCAAAACTTTGCAAAATTTTATTTAAAAGATACTAAAATATCGATTTTTCGCCTAAAAATGACGATTTTGGCCGAAATTCGTTTTTCAAACATTTTTGAGATGGTTTTCGACTTGAAATATATTTAATTTTTACTAATAATAGCTCAAAAATATAAAACAGGGTCTCCTTTTTATATGAAAAGTCGAAAAAATTTCGAATTTTCGGAGTGTTGGGCAAAAATGTTTCAAAAATTATCCAAAAAAACAAAAATTTCAATGGTTCAATTTTTTTTACAACGTGCTTTTTAATTTTCTCGCAAGGAGAAATTACGAAAAAGTTATAAACATACCCTATATATTATTTCGGCAGGTATAGACGTAAAAACAAAAATGCCCCCCCCGCTAACAGGACAGAGCCTTTATCACCAGAATCTAACCAAAAACTCAAAATTTTGATTTGAAAATTGGAGGCTAGCATTAAAAAATACAGTATATAAAGCCTAGAAAAGCCAGTTTTTTTTGGTGTCACTGCCCCTTTAAAAGCGTTTTTTTTTCAGTCAGCCGCCCCTAAAACGCCAGCCCAGCCGAAACGAGCGCAGCGCCCTTCTCTCGACCACCGGCAGCAGCAGCGCGATGCTGTCGTCTTCCCGCCACTGAACTGCTCGATGACGCGTGGCCGCTGTGCTGCTTGATGCCGCGGCTCATCTACTGCTCCTCCCTCTCCCCAAATCATACTCGCTGTTGCTGCACATTTTGCTCCCCCCTTCTCGATCCTCTTTTTCCATGTATCATTTCGCAGTACACAGCCTACACCCCCTACCGCATCCCAATAAATCGTTTTTTAGATGAAGAAAATATATGAAAACTGTAAAAAATGCAAATGCAGGCGAAAAGGGTTAAAAAATTGGTCCTAAAAAACGCAATTCTGCTTCCGGATTAAAAAAACACGCATTTTCACACCCTAAAACCATAGCAACACGCATTTTTAGATTTTAAAGAATCGATGAAAAAATAGTTTAAAACCGAAAATCGTGCAAAAAATCGCGCCAAACTTCCGAAAAATGGTTAAAAATTGGTCTTAGAAGCGATTTTTAGATGAAGAAAAGGGCCCCGCTTCCAAAATAACGGGAAAACCGCAAAAAAAATGAAAATGCCATCGAAAAAGGGTTGAAAATTGGTCCTAACAAAAGCAATTCTGCTTCTGCATTAAAAAAAAACACGTTTTAAACCTTAAATTGATGCGAAAAACGCACTAAACCTTGAGAAAAACCGCCAAAAACTGGTGTTTGAAGTGAATAAATGCTCCCAAAATTGAATGCTACATAAAAAACCGCGAAAACGGTCGGTTTTGGGCCCCGGCTTATATTGCCAAAACCATGTTTCAGGCACTACGGTTGCGCTGATTACGAAAAACACTTCAAATGCGTGTTAAAATACTATTTAGGGAAAATTAATTTGAATATCGGGAAAATTCCATATTTACGGCGCTTGCGAAAGACTCGTATTTTTGTGGGTTTTTAACTAAATACATAAACAAACTGGTTTACCAAGAAAAAATAAGCTTGTACATTGTCAGGCAAGGCGGGCCGTCGCTTCGGATGGGCTGCCGCTCCACTTTTCGAAATCAGGGCGCCTGGCGCTCGCTCGGGCGCCTGATTTCAAACCCTGTACACTCGCACCCATCCGAAGCGGCTAGGCCCCGGGGGTGGCACGAAGCCTTATTTTTAGGAAAAAACGAACGCAAGGGATAAGCTTCTTGGAAATAGGGTTTCCCCGTTTTATAGGCCTCCAACTTCAAAGCCCTAGTTAACCCCTTGAAACTCAAACCATGAAAACTGACAATGAAATTTGTTTCCCTTCAAAAACAAAACTTCACGATTCGGGATAGTGTTTTTCGTAATCAGCGCAAAAACTACCGGAAACATGAACTTTTGGCGAAATATAAGTGGGGAACCAACAAACAAGTAGCAAACGGTCTTGGAAAATGCCTAAAACGCGTTATTTCTAATCAAAAACCAAAAAATACAGGTAAAAGTAAAACCATCATCATACTAAACGTGCAAAAACAGCCATTTTTCACGATTTTTGGCAAATCAAGGAATCTCAAAAACTTGGGTGGCTACGAGACGCTGTAGTGAACGCCATCCGTAATCGTAGCGCCTTGGAATCCTACGGTAGCCGGGGTTTCTCGGATTTTTTGGGCCTAATTTTATTTCTCGTTTTTATGATTTTCGCTAATTTTTGCAAAGATTTCAGCTTTTTCGCAAAACTCTGATAAAAACTATGTTTTAGAAAGTGATTTTACTCGAGTTTTCTACTTTTGCAACCACGCGACGCTTCACCTAATACTGCGCCATAGAAACGTACCGAAAACATTGACTTGGACGCGTATTTTTTGGTAAAATTTGCGTTTGTGTGGCTTTGGCTGCGCTTTAACCTCGTTCCAGGCTTAGATAGTTTAGTTTGTCTAGTTTTATCGGTCCGCTCGCTTCATTCTTCCGATTTTCTGCCTTTTCTCACTGCATTTCTCTGCGAATCGACGTCTTGCTTTCATTTTTGTCACAGACGATGCTCTCGCTATCTTTTCGTGGTAAAAAGGAAGGGGACACGTATACGTAATCTCTTTTTTGGTCTGAAACTTGGGTTTTTAAAATTAGTAAATTTAGCTTAGTCAACTTTACTGCGCTTTAGCTTTCTTCGAACTTTTTCTGGTTTAGAAACTTTGAGATTGAGTATTAGATCGTTGTTCTTCTAGGTTTATGGGACCGTACGCTTCATTTTTCCGATTCTTCGCTTTTTCTATGTGAAAAATCATCTTTTTCATATTTTTAAACGTGTTTTTTCAGAGGATGCCCTCGTTCCGCGCCCGATGCGCCATCTGCACGCTATTCTACTCGCTGGAGGACGTCCACGTCATCCCGTGCGGCCACACCTTCCACAAAGACTGCATTAACACATGGCTCACGGTAAGCTTTTCTTTTTTAACTTTTGATGTCCTTTTCTAGAGCCATCACCCGCACTCGCAGCGCTGCCCGGTATGCCGTCATCGCTGTGGCCGCCACGAGGTCGTCAAGGCCTTCATCGACATCGACGAGACCGCGGAGGGCGCCGCCGAGCACGCCACTGATCAGGTACAGTTTGGGAACGGTTTTTGAGGGCCTCTGGGTTTTTTGGGGGATTTTGGCATCGGGTTTTTAGGCCTTTCTGGCCTAGGTTTTGGCGAAATTTTCGAAAAAGTCCAACGGTGATTAGGAAAACAATTGTTTTGGGCAGGTTTTCTTAGCGCCCCGCTTCAGATGAGCCTAGTCAGGCCGTAGAGCGTTTTTAATAGTGTTTTTATCAAATGTGGCTCAATTGGAAGGGCAGATTTGTCTATTTTGGACGATAGCCAGGCTTTTTTGGTGACATTTAGCTAAATTCGAGGTGCAAAAACTGTCTAGAAACTTCGAAAAACTTTAGAAATTGCAAATTGGGTCGAAATCGCCCATTTTGAGCAAAAAAAACGCTCCATTTCTAGAAAAAAAATGGATATGGAACGCTGCCGCAAATGTGTCTGAATAGTTTTTTAATTAGCATAGATCTGCACAAAATAGCTGTTTGTATCTCGTAAAATGGGGTCATTTCTCTGTCTCCCATGTCTGCAATGACGGCCATAGATCTGTATGATCAAACTGTTAGTGATTTTATAATTTTCTTAACCACTTTTATAACGTTAAAAAATTGATTTTAAGGTTTTAATAACTTAAAAAACTTAATTAAACTTTTTGGAACTTTACAATACTTATTCCCCCCTGTTCCAGTTGGACCAAATGCGCCGCGAGCTGGTGCTCACGAAGGCGGATGCGTTGGAGGCCCAGCGCGACATGAAGAGGAAGGTCAATGACGTGCGCGACGAGGCCGCCCGGCTCCTCGCCAAGAAGGACCGGAGGTGCGTCGCTGAACGAGCGGCTCGACAAGGTCACCAAGGAGCTCGCCGATGTCAACAAGACCGTCCAGAAGCAGGCCGATGTCCACAAGTCCCTCCAGAAGCAGTACGTTTTCTATTTGTTGGGTTCTTGGGCAATATCGGGGGGAGACAATTTTTTGTACGTGTCTAGAAATGCCTAGTAAATTAATAGAAGACATTTTCATAATGTTTTCAGTAAAATAAAACTATTTTTCAACTAGAAAAACTATCTAAAAACTTATGAAAAACGACGTTTTGGATGAAAAATCGATTTTTTTTAACTTTTGGATAGAAATTTATGAAGTTTTTATGTTTAAGAATGCAAAAAAACGTTTAGAATCACTTCTTCTAGCTATTTGCAAATCCCCCCCTCCCCCGAGATTGCCAAAGAACCTTTCTTTTTTTGCTATTCGTATTCGTATTTTACAATTTAGAATCGACGCGCTGGTGGCGCAGATGAAGACTGTGGTGCAACGTCGCCCGCCCCCACCACCGCAGCAGCAGCAGCCGTCTAGGTATAACTTTTTAGCAAGCCTTCTTTTAACCTCTTTTTTTCCAGCTCGAAGCAGCCGGACGTGAAGGCCCCGGAGCGCAGCCTCGTCTCGCCCGCGCGCCCCTGCCCATCGCCGCCGCGCTCCTCAACAAACGGATGCCGGAGAAGGAGCTGCGCCGCTCGCTTCGTTCCGGTATATTTTTGACTGGAAAAATTTTATTAAGGGTGAAAACCGCCTAGAATTTTTGAGTGCTGCCCGATTTTAGCGCTTAGGCTGGAAAACTCGACGAAAAAGAGGATTTTTCAAAATTTTGGTGTTTTTTGCGAAATTGACGGAATTTTCGCTTTGGAACTAGTTTTGTAAATGCCAAAAGCTGTATTCTTTCCAGACTGTTGTTACTATTTGAACTTCAAACCCTGACAAATTTTGGTATCAAAAATCTCGGTTTTTGGGCAAAAAATGGCCGTTTTTGACTAAAATTTCCGGCTTTTGGAGATTTTTTGATAGTTTTTAGATAGTTTTTCCAGTTAAAATGTGGTTTTTTATTTTACCGATAATGCTACAAAACTAGAAATCCTTTTTTCAGCGAGCGTCGTGGCCACGGCCCGCCTCACCACGAAGCGCCCCGAGCCGCCGCGTCCTGCTGTCGCTGCCGGACCTGCTGCCAAGGTATAATTTTCTCAACACTTCTGAAAATCTTTCTTTTTTTAGGTGATTCGACAGAAGTGACGTGCCGCTCGCCCTCGACGATCAATCAACGCTCCCCGAACGACACCACCCGGCCGGCCGCCACCCCATCCTCGTGCTCGACTTCATGCTCATCTACTAGGAAATCCCCCCCCTTCCTCCCCCCGCCCAGTCTCTCTATCCCCCAGATTTGCATGCACATTCCCCCCTTCCCTCGCTTTTTTTTTGTCATTTATTCACTCGGCTCTGACCTTCCGCGCTGATATCATTAAAAATTCCACTGAAATATGTCGATAATCGGTGTAACAACTCATGCTCATTCTCCCCGCCCTGGCCATTGCCCCCCTTTGACATCCACCCAGCACACACACACACTTTTTGCATGTCTTTGCCATATCGTTGCCCGAATAAATGTATTCAAAATATGCGAGCTTTGTTGGAAATGTAGAATACGAATGGATCAACCCCCGACAATTGCCGAAAACGTATTACTGGTTTTTTCGGAGCTTTTCGTTCTTCCGGTTGCGATTGATTGCAATTTTTACTTTTGGTTGCGTACAAAAAACGTTGACTTTTGAAGCCGAAAAACTGTCCGAGAAGCGCAGAAGAGGTGCAATGCAGCGCTTGCGCTTTTCTTGCTAAAATGTTTTTAGATTTTTATGTATTACTGTTTTCGCTCTAAAATTCGCTTTGTTTTGTTCTTCTTGCTTTTGCGATTATTTCTCTATCAGATTGCTTTTATTGCAAAAGACGCGAAATCGGATAGAAAAATACATAACACGCAACATCGGCGCTTTTGCTACTATTTCGTACGGTTGATTTCAGGCAATTTGGATTGATCTAAATTCGTACAATGGCTGGCTCTTTGGGTTGGGTTTGCGTTAGAGCGCCGCAAAACGTTCAATTCGGCGCTTCACGATTTCCCCGCATTGTTTTGAGTGATTCCGGGAGGATTTGTAAGCATGTGGGCCTAAAGTAACGCTTTTGGTGACGCGGAGCTCGTCGTTATGTTTTCTGCGCACTTTCCTTGTCTAGAATTAATTTAGTGGCAAATTCCGCGCTAAAAAGGGTTTTTTTTCGGCGGTACAACGTTTTAAATTCCTTGTGACCTTCATGTAGAACTTTTTTTGCTTTTTAGGCCCCCTTTCGATCCTTAGATACATTTTCCCTCAGGATTTACAGATAGTCTCAGCGCGCATCTTCCAGCTTTTAGTTGTTTTTTAGCCTGTTTATCACCTATTTTCAGTGCTAGAAGCTGGCGCTTTTTGGACACCCCGGCCGGGCGCAGCAGGCATCCGCTTTAGAGCCTTGAGAAACGTCGGCGCCTAGCTTTAGGCACATTTACACGCTCGATTTTAGCTTGATATGGTTTTCCCGCTTTTTTAACACCATTCTGTATGTGCCAAATAATCTAGTTTTTGCTATAAAAAACCGCCCGGCGCCACAGAATTTTCGATTAAGCGCGGTTTTGGACATTTTTATAGCTTGTTCTTGATTTTAGAGTGTTTTCTTCTTGGTCTCCAGGAAGTTTTAGCTTTATAGGGTTTTTCCTTTCTTTTTTAAAAAAAAAAAACAAAAAGCCGCACCCCCCGGCCCCGCCCCCCCCCCCCCCCCCCCGCCCCCCCCCCCCCCCAGGCCGGGGGGGGGGGGGGGGGGGCCCCCCCCCCCCCCACCCCCTTTTCCCCCAAGGGGGACCCCCCCATGCCCCCCCCCCCCCCCCGCGTTGGGGGGCCCCCCCCCTCCGGGGAGGCCCATTTTTGTGTCTTTTCCTTCCGGAAAACTGTAGATTATATTTCGAAAATTTTTGAAATCTTTAGAAAATCTGAAATTTTGGTGATTTTTAGGTTTTGCGAGAAGCATTTTCGACTTAGTGCTGTTTTCTTGCTTTTTTTTTTGTGTTTTCTTCTTTTTTTGAGGAGATTTTAACTTTTTTTTTGCAGCAATGCTCGAGAGCGACGACTTGGGCGGCGATGGTTTCGACTGGGATCAACAGCGCATCGACAGGATGATGGACAGACTGCGCCAGCTCTTCGCCCTCTTCAAACGGACACTGCCCGAGCCTCGATACGACCTCTGGATCGGGCTGTACAAGAAGTTCTTCGTCGGCACCGTCACCGTCAAGGAGTTTGCCGACCAAACTGGCGACATTCTACAAGGAGCCCTTCAAGGTAATGGGTTGTTAGCGGGGGGGGCTTTGGAGCCACGCTTTTTTATCAGAAAAAAATTTGAAAACTAGATAAATTAGCGGTTCTCATCGCTTTTTCGTAATTTTTGAAGAATTCTCAATGAAGGGTGATCAGCTTATGCCTTTTTGTTCAGAAATCAGAGAGATTAGCGTTTCTCACTGCTTTTTTGTAGTTTTTAAAAGATTCTAATTGAACTGGTCAGCCTATACCTAAATTTTATAGGTTTTGGTATTAAAAATTTCTAACAGTTCTTAGAAAAAAATTGCGTTTTCTACTTTTTTCGACAATTTTTGAAGTGCTTTATGATTTTTAGATCGTTTTTTAGTACGATAGAGTCTATAGAAAAGATAAGGAAAATTTATAGAACTTTTGGAAATTAGAGAAATATGAATTTTTTGCGCAAAAACCATTTTTTAGCCAATTTGGTATTTTTTCTGAACTTTCTGGTCTTAGAAACGAGAGTAGAAAACACTGAAAATCACAACATAGACTGGAAAATACTGTGCACTAAAAATTTTAAGCCAGGATCTATTTTTTTTCGCCGAATTTTGATGATTTTTGTGACTTTCCGAGCTTAAAAAAGGACGTAAAATGGCGCGAATCGTTTCACGCTAGGTGAAAGTTACGTCCCCCCCCCGCTAACGCTCAAGAACCCCCTTTTTTTCAGCCGAGAACGGCGAGGTGCGGGCGGCGCTCTGGGAAATCGCAAGGACGAATCTGAGGTGGAAGCGGCGACAACGCGACTACGACTCGAATGGACAGCCAATTCCGCTCCGCTCGATCGTCACCTTCGGGGATCGCCGTGCTCTGCTGGCCATCAGATGCGCTGAGAGGGGGGCGTCGTTCGAGAGGGAACTCGTTGATGTGCTCGTCGAGGCCGGCAATGACTATATTCAGGTATAAAAATTGTTTATTTTTGATTATTACGGATCTAAAACGATGAAAAAATACGTAGAAACGTTGGTTTTTAGATGATTTTTGTAGTTTTGGAAAGCCTGGAAAATGGCGGATTTTTTAGAGTTTGAAGCGACCGAAAAATTCGTTAAAGCCGATTCTTTAGGATCGAAAGGCCAATCCGATTAAATGCAGTTCAGAATTTTTATTTTAGCCTATTCGAAACCCCAAAAAATTGCGAATCTGCTGGAGTTTTCAAACTAATTTTTATAGGTGTTAAAAGGCCAGAAAACGCGGATCGATCCTAATTTTAAGTTTCTAAATTTTTCCCGATTTTTTAAACCTTGAAAAACGTGGTTTTTACCGATTTTCGAGATCAGAAAAGGATAGAATTTGGTGTAACTTCGATTTCGATCGATTCTAAATCTTCGAAAAATAGTAAATCGGTGTTTTAGGTCAATTTTACCCTTTTATCCCCCTCCAAAACCGGCTGCTTCGTGTTGCTTCGCCTTTTGACTACCCGCCCCCTTCTGTCGCGTCGGCTGTTCGAGTTTGTAGTCCCCCTGCCAGGATCCCTCTCCTCGCCCACACATGTGGGCCGAATCCACGACCCCCAAAATTGCTTTCACGCCCTCGTAAAGCGACCCCCAATCGATTTCCGGTCACTTTTTGAACGCGTTTTTGATAGTGTCGAAACGGAATTTCATAATTTCTGGAAGGTTCTGGCTTTTTAGGCTCGTTTCGATTTCTGGGGAGCTCGGCTTCGGCGTAACTGGCGATTTTGAGATCTAGGATCTAGCTTTTTAGGCGTTTGTTGTCTTTTTATTGTCTAAAAATGTGGAGCTTGAGGCCAAAAATCCTAATATACGGCCACTTTGCGCCGAAACATCAAAATGTTAGGTTGAAAAAGGAAAAGCACATTTCCAGGATTCTCGTTTTGTCCGATTTTTGCGTATAAGTTCTAAATATTATTTCTATTTATTCCATAACCTCGAAATTCTGGGTTTAAAATTCAAAAAAACTTTTTATGAGTTGTTTATCCAGATTTATTGCAGCCGTGGATACAAAAAAGGCTATTTTTTTCAGGCATTGGCGCCGGGATTTTTCTATTAGCTTTTTTATGGCTTTTTGGTGGAATTTTTAAATGTGGTTTTAATTTAATAAACGGGGCAAATCCAGGCTTCATTTTCGGATAAAAGAATTGCAATTTCCATCTAAAAAACTTTTTGGGTTAGTTTATCCCGATTTATTCAGCCATGGATACAAAAAGTTTGTTTTTTCTATTAGGTTTTTCTGGCTATTTGGGTCGTAATTTTGAAATGTGATTTTAATTTAATAAACGAGGCAACATCCCAAAATTCCAATTTTCGAATAAAAAAATCACTTTTGTTCCATCTAAAAACGTTTTTTTTGCAGGAACGGGTGCTGTCGAATTCTTTACAATGCATTTTTTCGAAATGTCTGAATTTAATTTAAGTTATAATTTTCAAAAAAATCTCTTTAAGTTTAGAAAAAACCCATTTCTTTTTGCAGGAACTCGTGCTGTCGAGCTGCCCACAAGCCGATGGTATCGATGGCTTCATCGAGACGGCCGGGGCCAAGGGGCCATTCGGGATCCCGGATCTGCATCATCTACTGCGCAAAAGAAGCACAGATCCGGAGCTGCCAGAGGAGATGCGAGAATTGGCCGCCAGGCAGCTGGCCACCACCATCGAAAAGACGACTGAAGCACAGAGAACGGCTCGAGCGCCACGTTGGGATGTTGACGCGGATGAGGAGGATGACGATCTCTACGCCGACGCCTTCGATTTGGACGAGTTTGAAGCGGACGTGCTTGGGCAGCCCGTAAGAGAAGACGATGACGATCAGGGAAAGGTGGGCATGGTTTTAATAAATTTTTATGCGGTTTAAATTAATTTTCGTAGTTTTTTGGGAGCTTTTGAATTATCCGGGGGGGGGAGGTGTCACAGAAAAAGGCGGGAATTAATTTAATTTCAAAATATCCTAACTAAAAATCAAATGAATTAATTCGTGAAAATTTAATTTCGTTTTACTGGGAGCTTTTGCATTATCGGGTGGGGGTCACAGAAAAGGTGGAGATTAATCTAACGTTTATGATGTTTAAGTCAGAACAGGGTGATTAATTTATGATGCTTAAATTGTTTTAAAACTAATTTTCGTTTTTGTCTGGGAGCTTTTGCATTATCGGGGGTGGGGGTGCCACAGAAGAAGGTGGAGATTAATTTAACCAATATTTATGATGTTTAAATTATTTAAAATGACTTTTGGAAAGAAATAGTTCGAAAAATAGAATTTTGGGTCTTTTGCGTTATCGGGGAGTTTTCAGTGAAATAGAGCAAGCGTTTTCTATGTTTTTTCTTGCTTGCCATAATTAAAACAAAAAAAAACGTTGAAAAATAACTTAGGCAATTTTGCATTTTTGTACGGGTAGAAAAAGCAAAAAAAACGATACTTCCTGTTTTTTTACGCTTTTTAACAGATTTGCAGCATTTTGCAAAAAATCAGCAAAAATAAGAATAAACTTTTTTTCAGATGAAGGCGTACGAAGAGGTGGATTCTGATGAGGAGGAGGGGGAGCAAGAGATGGAGGACGGGACGCTGGCCGGCGTCGAGCAGCTCTCCCAGCGTGTAGATGATCACGACTTGACGCTCGACCTCTTGGAGGAGTCTGAAAGTGAAGAGGAGGATGAGCCCGAGGAGAAGGAGCACAACAACAAGGAGCCTCCGACGAGACCGAAGAATGACGGAGCGCGAGCCGGGGAGGAGGAGCTGGACAAGAAAAAGCCTCCGACTAGCCCGGAAAAAGACGAGGAGCACGAGCCGGTGGAGGAGGAGCTAGTCAATGAAGTCTCCGATCAAGCCTATCAAAACCCTCCCGGCTCTGGTGGACTATGACGAGGAGGAGGAGGAGCAGCTTTTGGAGCACGACATCCCGCCGTCGCCCGTCGAGAAGGAGACGCTCCGCGGAAATGAAGCCAAATCGGGAGCTGAAGCTGAACACCCGCATTTTGACGGCCGTGGCGATCACAACGAGGAGATGGCCGGAAATCGGGGTAAATTTTTGTTTATAAAATTATTTTTTAAACGTATTTAAGTCTAATAGGAGTATTTAATATGAATTTAGTATTTTTGTATCTATTTTTCGGAAAAATGAGAATTATTGAATTAAAAATTGTTTATCAAATTATTTTAAAATGTATTTAAAGTGCTAAAAATAATTTGGCATTTTTATTTCTTTTTTTTCAAAATTAGCTTTAGAAACTGACGATTGGGAAGATGATCTCGACATGACGGCGACGATGGGCCAATTTGACGACGCGCTCGACGAGCAGCACCAGGAGTTGAACAACACGCTCGACGAGGCCAAGTCGAACGCGTCGGCATCGACGACCGATCGCGGCGACCACGACGACGACGTCGTCAAGACGTCCAAAGGTCCGTAGTAGCTTTTTTGAAAAATATTTGACATTTTTGCAAGTTTTAAGGTTTTAAATTTTTATTTCAGATAATGGCGACGGCGAGTGGCTGGCGGACTGGCGGAAAACGGTCAACTTGACGGGGTCGGCTGGAGACGACCAAGCTGAAGCTGCTCAACCGGGCGGACGAGGCGACGGAGACGCTCTAGGTAAGCTTAGGACCTTTTTGATTATTTGAAAGGGAATAAACCTCTTGAAAATTGAAAATTTCTATTTTTATTCAGTTTTTGATGTTTATTTTCCAATTTCGCTTTTATGAATAATATTTACATTTTTTAATTCTTCTTTTCCAGCCGCCGCCTTCGGCGACGACATCTCGTTCTCGGACCAGCCCGGGCCGTCGAAGAGGTTCAACGACCTGCTCCAGTCGATGCCCAACGACGTCGTCCTGCCGCCCAATTCTGATGATGAACACGACGAAGACGTGCCACCGCCCACACCGGTGCCCGTCCCCCGTCCGACGGCCACAAAAACACGCTCACAGTCGGTGGCCGAGAAGGCGCCGCCGAAGAAACGTCAGCCACTCCAAGTCCCGCGCCTCTTCCAGGGCCCCGAAAGGCGGTCGAAACGCGAAAGGTAAAATTTTTATTACCATTTAGTTTTTGTTAGCTTGAAAATGTTCAATTTGAAAAAAAATTTTTATTTGCGAAAATTCAATTTTTTATGAAATTGTAAGCCGGGATCCGATTTTGGAACTGTTCTATTAGCGGGGGTGCTATTTAACCCGTTTTTTCTAAAAAACCGCTTGTTTCCTTGCCGAAAATAGTTTTTCCTTATTTTTTGTGAGTTTTGATTTCTTTAGTAGATTGATAGGTCTTTTTTTTACGTTTAAAAATTTCTCAAAATGATATGGGGATTTTCCTTTACCCTAAAATAGACCGGTGCCCTAATTTTCGATAAATGGGTATTTTTTGTAATCAATTAAACAATTTTTAATTTTTTTTGCAGCCGTTGTCGACGCCGACGACGACGACAAGGTCAGCCCGGCGAAGCGAAAGCGGACCAGCTCGCACTATGACGACGATCCGCCCTACAACCCAAGGAGGGGTCCGGCCAAGAGCAAGAAGCCGGCAAAGCCCAAGAAGCCAACGGCGGCGTCACGATCGAAAAGCAAGGGCCGACGCGTAGATGATCAGCTCGACGATGGGAACGAGTCCGACATCGACAACTTGCCGGGTAAGGCTTTTTACGATTTTTAAATCTAGAAATTTTGGTGTGGAAAATCGAAAAATTGACTTTCCGCAATTTTAACAGAACTTTAATTTTGTTTTTATCAAAATTTAGGCATATTTTAAAAAACAAAACGATTCGAATTTCACCATTTTGAAGCGAAAAATCGATGCTTTTCTTCAGTAGAAATAAAATTTTATGGTTGAATTATTTAGTAGTCAAATCCTCGAAATTTGATTTATTTTTATTGTTTAGAATTGTTTAGAAAACGGTGAATTTAAATAAAGCTGAAAGAAAATGGATTAAAAAGAAAAATTCCGGCCTAATTATCATTATTTTTTTGGAAAACGAGGGAATATTAATAAAAATAACTATTTAAAGGCCATTAAATTTAATTTATCGTTAATTTCTATTTTTTTCCAGAAAACGACGACGGCTCGGACTCGGCGGACAAACCGGGCCCATCAAAGCCAAAGAAAAGAGCCCGCCGAAAAAGAGAAGAAGATGGCCAACAACATGAAGGGAGGGCGAGGAGGAAGAGTCCGGACGACGGCTACAACCCCAAGTAATTGTAGCATAATATTTTCTAATTGTAATAATAGAAAGCACAAAGCCGACGGCGCCTTCACGCTCGAACAGACGCGGAGATGATCAGCCCGTCGACGGGGACGCTTCGACTTCAACAACTGGCCGGGTAAGGGTTTTCTTTTTTGATAAATTGAAATCGAAAAATCGAGATTTTGTAGATTTTGTTGAAAAAAATTACTTTTGAATTAAAAAGGAAAATAAATTTTAAATTAGTAATAATAAAATTCTCGGAATTTATTTTATTGATTTTTCCAGAAAACGACGACTTCTCGGACCCCGACAAACCGGGCCCATCAAAGCCAAAGAGGAAGAGCCCGCCGAAAAGGGAGAAGAAGATGGCCAACAACATCAAGGAGGACAAGGGCCGCGGCGAGGAGGACGAGGTCGACACGAAGAGCAACAACAAGAAGAAGCCGGCCAGCAGCAAGAAGAAGCCGAAGGAAGCGGAAGAAGAAGGATGGTCGTCAGATGATGGATCATCCACGATCGACCCTGACCACATCCCCACCCCCAAACACGCCTCCGCCGCCAAGAAGCACGAATTCAAGCTCGCCATGAAGCAGCTGTTGAAGGAGAAACACAATCTGCCCACTCTGGCTAGGTAATTTTTATTAGGTTGTTTTATTGGTTTAGTTAAAAAATAATTTGAAAAAATATAACAATTTTCTTTAACAAGTGAACTGTTTCTGTCCCTGCTTGTTTATGATACGTTTTTAGTTTTAGGAAAATTTCGCCCGAAATTCATTTTGCCGAATTTTAATGGATTTGCCTATTTTATAAACTAATAGAATTTGAAATTTAATCGAATTTCGAAATTTTGCCCAGGCGAAATTGAATTAAGGAAAAATGCCAAGCGCCGAATTTTTGTTGTCCGAAAATCAGAATTCATCGTCGTTGGATTTCCCAGAAATTCATTTGGCAGTATTTTCTGGTTTTTATTCATTTTTTGGCTTTCGCTTTTCTAGCGTCCATTTTTGTATTTTGGACTTATTAAATTAAATGTAAATTTCATTTATCGTTTTAGGCGCGATCCAATTTGCGCCGAAATCCACTATTTTTATCAAAAAGCAATCGGAAAAATTAATTTTGGCCCAGGCACTTTCGGTGACCATTGTTACTCATTTTTAGGTTGCGCAACGAGCTGAGAAATCGCGTGTGGCAGGAGGAGGAGGATGAGGAGGAGGAGCAGGAGGAAGACGAGCACGAGGAAGAAGAAGCCAGTCACCCGCTTGCGAAGCCACAAGAAGAAATAAACACCCAGCTGCCCGAATTTTTTATCTTTTTTTGTGTTATTTTTACTGTTTGCTTTGTGCTCATTTCCGGATATAGGCGCACGCTCGTTGATTTTGTTTTGTTACTAGAATTAGATTTCTGGAATCGAAAAAGTGATGGGTTTCTTTTGTTGGTCGGATAATAAATTATTTATTTGTGTATTTTGTGAAGGAAGAGAGAGTAAAATGGATGATGAACCATCAAGATTTCTATAAAATTATCGATTTTTACCCCGATGTTGTATATTTTGAAGTTCGATTTACTTTTTAATTTTAGATGTCTTTAGTGCTAGATTCAGCGATTTTCCTTGGTTTTGTAGCGTGATTTCGATAGTTTTAGTAGTTCTACCTTTTTATAATAGTAGTATTTATTCAGATTTCCAGTTTTCCTTACTTCTAGTAGATAGCCTTAAATTCAGCGGACTTTTTTTGGTATTTTAGTCGTGGTTGTTTCGGATTTCTCGATTCTTTTTTGCCATTCTTTTACCTTTTAGATAGTTTTATTCGTATTTTTTTATCGTTTTTGAATCTACGATTTTTCCGCTCTCTCTCTCTCTCTCTCTCTCTCTCTCACACACACACTCATCCTTCGATAAATTGTCGAAAGCCTGAAGGACGAAATTTGCTCTCTTTTTCTTCCAGACCACGCTTTTTCATTCAAAATTGAAATATTCCTAAAAAATATTTTACATCTTTCCCGGAAACGCTACCGTTTTTCCTTTTCGGGGAGTTAGGCTTCAACGATCATTTTCCGCGCTGTGGCGCCTTTACCTGGTTCGATTTTAGCTTTCTTGCGCTTTTGCGTATTCCACGAAATAGCGTCCTGACGCTTCAAAGCTGTTTTATTTAGTGAACAACTTCATGACGCTATTTGTAGTTGTTCTTGCAAGATCGAGCCCGATTTCGTTGAAATTTACTTTTTTGGCGTGCTTGCTCGCAAATCGTCCTCAATTGGCCCTATTTCTTGACGTTTTTCGTTTTCTCCTCGCTCTCACGCTCTCCATTCTCTTTTACGCGTTCAGTCCCTTCAAAAACTATCCAAAAAACGCATTTTATTCCTGGAAATCCTTTTCCAAAGTTTTGCCGGGCTTCAAAAGGCTTTCGTTTTCTAGCCGATACCACGTTTGATTGACGTTTTTCCGCGACGGTTTACCCATCGATTAGAGGGTAGTTTTACGGGCTCGGCTCGAATTTTTGGCCTAAAATCCACCTGGGGGTGTTTCTCCATCATTTTGTACCGGAAATTGGGCTGTTCGGCGATCATTTCCCGCTCTCCCGTGCCTATTTCGCCTCGAATTTGGCTTCTAGACTTGGCGAAATCGCTTAATCCTGTTCGTGGAAATCCTGTTCCAAAGTTTTGCCGCGCTTCTTTTCCTTGTGATTGACCTTATTAGATTCCACCCGATACGACGTTTTTAGATTCGACCGCGTCTTGCAAACGCTGGAAATTTCCTTTTTAGGTCACGAAAATATTCGCGGTCTTCCGGTAACTTTATTAGTAGTGAAAAACCTCTTTTCAAAGCCGTCTCATTTTTTTGCTTCAAACCCGCATTGATTTTGTGTCCCTGCCTCGCTAAGATTTTTTAAAAAATGAGAATAAACCAAAAAAGAAAAAACTACAATTTAGTTTCAGTGCTGTTTCGTCTCTGTTTAGCGCTAGTTACCTGGAAAAATTATTTGAATTGTTTTCTATTGCTAATTCGATGCCCGGAAGTATTTCGTAACTTTTTAGGAGGTGTTCTTTTCATTTTTCTGTCCTCACCTGGCCAGTATTTCTGAAAAGCTCGTTTTTCCCGGAATCTCTAAAAAGAAGCGATTTTCTTGCGAAGTTCTGTTCTCGTGCTTCCCTCTATCCTTTTCCCGATGAAATCGCCCGAAAATTTCGCCCGCTAGAAGCTGGCTGTTCTTTCCAAATTCCGTTTTTATCAATGGAATCGCTTAAAATGACGGTTTTCAATAAAGTACATCCTTTTTGAGCTCCAACTTTTTTCATTTTCATGTCCTCAATTGACCTGGCTTTTCAAAATTTCTAACTTGTCATTTTCAGCCCAAACATCCCCAGAAATCTCGCCACACACACAAAAACAGCTCTGGATGGAAGTTGACGGGGACAACAAGGGCGACAACAACACTTCATCTACCGCCTCTGCTGCCGCTGCCAACAGGCCCATGAGCTGGGGAGATTTTGGGTGCGTTTTATTGGAATTTATGAAAGTTTTAAGTTTTAAAAACATTAATAAATAATTTTTTGCAGATTTCTGACCTTTTTTTAGGTCTAGAAATGGCTAGTAAGTATTTTTTAGTGTTTTTAATCGAATAAGGCTATTTTTCAACAAAAACTATCGAAAATTTGCTATTTATTTGATATTTAGTGAAAGTTTGTAAAGTTTTAACGTTTAGGAATATTAAAGAAACCCCTTTTTACCTGAATTTTGGCATCCAAACTTTGAAAATCTATAATTTATGATTTAAACGAGAAAAGCGAATAAAAGAATTTTCTTTTTTTCCTTTAAATAAGCAATTTCTTTTTTTTGTAGTCGAATCGCGGAGCACTGATGCGACGCAAACGTTGACGGCAATCGCGGAGATGCAGCGGACGGCGGCCCCGAATCAAGACACGAGTGATATCCCCCTGGCCACGACATCAGCCCAGATCAACAGCATCCATCGTGTACTCAACATTCCGCATCTCATGGAGCAGATCGTGTCCAACGTCGTCGATTTGAAGGTGAATTTTATGACCGTTTTTCGCCAAGTTTTCAAAGCAAAACGGCGGATTATCGTGCTCGATTTTCTATTTTTTGAAATTTCAACCAAAACCCTGTTTCTAGGCCAGTTTTTGCGCTAAAAAAATGGCTTCAGTTAAATCATCAGTCAATCAGTTTTACTAAATGTTTCAGCAATTAGCGGATTTTTTGGCCTTTTTTGCGCCGATTTTGAATTCACGCTCTGGAACAGTGTAAAAAAATAGATAATTCGTCGACAAAGAAAAGAGGAACCAAAAATCGTTGTAGATTTCGATTTTCGTGCGCTTTGAGCTAGCTTTTAGCGTTTGAAAATCGCTTCTCGTCGCTGTTTATGAAAATTTTCAGCGCTAGAGCATAGAAATCGAATTTTTCCGTGCGAAACGGCAGAAACTAGAATTCCTAGGCCATATTTTGCGCGGATTAGAAATCGACGAGGAGTCTTTACACGAAAATTCGCTTTAAAATTCGATTTTTGTAAGTTTTCGCCGCAGGTTTTTCGAAAAATGCATTTTTTTTGTGAAAAATATACTTAAAGAAGGCCTAACATAACGGAGAAATCGTTTTTCTGGTAGTTTTGTAATCCCATTCTTTCAGAGCCGCGCGGCGCTGGACCACGTGAGCCGACAGTTCCACCATCTCTCCCGGAAGACCCCGTTCGCATTCCCGCTATACCCGGAGACATTGCGCCTCACTTTTCGGGTACGTTGTAGTTTTTTAAAAATTTCCTGGCTTCGTTTTTTTGACATTTATGTAATTACGTTTATTTGCCTTTTTTTCAGCACTGGTTCAGCGCGGCGTTGACGGTGGGCATCGGGACGATTGAGGTGACGTCACGTGTCGATGCCCTCACCCAGAATTCCCGAGGCGATCACCCTGTTGGCCAGCAGCCCCCCGAAATAAGTTCGTTTTAGTTGATTTATTTATTTAAACACACAGTTTCGTGCGTAAATTGAGAACAGGAAATTCCGCCACGCTACTCCTGATGTAAGTCCATAAATTATGTCAGAAGTAGCGTGGCGGAGCTTGGTCATTTTGAAATCTGGTCTTTAAATTTTTTATCTTCTTTTCGTAATATTTACCAATAATACAATGGCATAATCTTCAAAAATCCACGAGTTAAAATCAAATTTTAAAAGTTGTTTAAATTTTAGCCTTATGATTCGCTTTAAATTTGAACTTATCAAATTCTAAAAAACCTAATTAAAACTAGTTTTTTAAGTTAATGAACGTTTTAAGCTATTTAATTGTTAATTAGCTTTTTTTACAACCTTTTTATCGCCGATTTTTAAAAATGCATCTGATTTTCTAAATTTACTTTTTTACATTTTTTTACTTCCATTGTTTTTCAGTGACGCTGATCGACCGTATCGTGTCTCGCGTGGGCCCGCAGCACATCCACCGCCTGCAGATTGGCGTCATCTCGAGGAGGGACAGCGCCCGCGGCGTGCTCACGCGGGCCATTTGGTACTCTCTCTTATTGGCTCTCGATTTTTGCATTGCTTTTTTCCCGGGTAGGTTTCCGGTTTGTCAAGGTCCAAAAAGGTTGTCCGGTTTTGTGCGCGCGCACGTCGACTGGGGTGAAGCCGTGGATCCGGAAGGGAGCAGCTGCGCCGCCTAGTTCAACGCCGGTTTTCCCGCCGACTGGAGTACGATTATCGATTTTTCGGGCAGCGGACTAGGTTTTATCGATGTTTTTTCTAGCGATTTTCTGGGGAGCGCGTTGCGTGTCGCTCCATACAGACGTCAGCGAGCAGTTCAGCTCGTTTTAGCTCGATTTCAGCGTTTTTTGAGCTGCTTTAGACCCTGTTTTTCTTGACAACACGCAGCAGACGCGGTCGCGTTTGCGCTGGCCTGATCCGCTACAGAAATTCGGCGCGTCAGCTAGCCGTTCAGCGCCTTTTGGTTTTAGCAGACATGGCAATCGGCCGGGCCGCGCGGCATTTTCGGCCGCAAATTAGAATGCGGCCGGGCCGCGCGGCTGCCGCACTTCCGGCGCGGCCGCGGCTTTTTCCGTTTTGAGGCCGCACGGCGGCCAAGCCGCGCGGCTTTCGAGGCCGCATCCAAATGAGTTTTGAGTACTTCCGGCGCGTAAATTAGAGATGCAATGCGTATTTAGCCTGCTAGCGAGGAATATCCATACTCGACAACCTTAATTTTCTCATTTCCATTCCCAGTTGGCCTGAAATTCGCGGTTTTTCGATATGTAAATGAGCCACTTCCGGTTTGCGGCTTGGCCGTAGCGGCCCGGCCGAGCCGCGATGAAAATGCGGCTCGGCCGCGAAGCCGCATTTCCGGAAGTAACTAATTATGGCGGCTCGTAGGGGGCCGCGTTTTTTATGGAAATTAGGCCGCCGGCCCGGCCGCGCGGCTCGGCCGATCGGAATTGCCATGTCTGGGTTTTAGTGTTCTTTCAAAAGCGAATTTTTTGGTCAAATTTGGCGATTTCTAGGGTTTAATTTACTTCTTTATTTTTTCGGGGGTTTGACACGGCGCGTAAGCTAGCAGTTCAGCACTTTTCAAGGAATTTTTCGATTTTTTTCTTTAAAAAAGAAGTATCTTTGTTTTGATTTTCCTTTTGAACCCATTTTTCAGCTGCTCTGCACGGCGGGCCTGCTGCAGTACATCGACGAGCGTCTGCCCGCCGTCACGGCCATCGACTTTGCCAACTGCGTCTTCGACCACGGCGCCAGCCAGTACTGTACGTTTTTTTGCGTGTTTTCGGATTTATTTTTAATTTTAGTGCTCTCGCCGGCGTGCAAATTCCCGCATCGCCTGGCCGACCTGAGCTTCAACCGGTGCTCCTTCGACCAGACGACGCCCAACATTGTCGAGCTGGCCATGAGGGTCAGTTTTTACGTTTTAAAAATGACGCTCAATTGCTGATTTTAGCCTTTTTAATTTTTAAATTTGTTTAAAAAATGAATTTGCAAAAATGGCAAAATTTTCACGATTTTTAGAAAATTTTGTGTTTTTTGGTGCTTGAAAATATGCTAAATTGTTGATTTTCTGCTTTTTAGATTTAAAAAAGTTATTTATTGGCATTTTCTTTATTACAAATTTTATTAAAAATTTTACTACAGTAATTTTGCTTTTCCGGCCCATTTTATTATTTTTCCTTTTTCAGAAGCTGATCACCCGCCGGCTGCGCACGTTCTCGATCAACATGTTCAGCCTGACGTCACAGGGCGAGGGATTTCTTGTGGCCCTGGAGACGCTCTACCATCGTCTCGACACCCTCGACGTCTTCATCGACGAGCAGGCATTCAGGTACCCTGATTTTTGCCCATTTTGCGCAGTTTTTCCGCATTTTTCGTCTACTAAAACTTGTAAAAATATATTTACACTTTTTAAAATTTGTAAAAATTTTTAAAAGGCGTTTAAATTTTCATTTTTCGGCTTTTCCGGTTTTTAATTTTTTAAAATTTCGGATTTGTCCATTTCGCTTAGAAAAAAAATAATACTAAAAATTTGAAACAGTTTTTTTTAACCATTTTAACGTCTTTTTTAGCACCGACGTGACGGCGGCCGACGGCTGGGTGTTCCTGAAGCGATGCGCCGAACGGGCAAAGGATCTCCGTCTACATTTCCGGTAGATGATCTTCGGTACGGCTTGAACTCGTCGGCTCTGTTTTCAGGAAGGGCGACCCTCGCCACAGCCCCAAGCTGTTCGCCGTCGCCCGCGACTGCTTCCAGTTCAGCAAGGTCAGTGCGTTGGTGTATTCAAATATATTCTATTTTTTGCAGCTGTCCGAACTCGACATTGGCCTGCCGGTGCAAAGCCAAGAAGAACTTGACAATCTCGAGGCACTCGTCAAAGGTACGCACGACGTTTTCAACGAGTTTTTCGAGAATTTGTGATATTCTAAAAGGCTTTTTAATTAATTAGAAACTGGGTTTTTAATTTTGGAATTTTTATCCGATTACGCGATGTTGGAAGCAGGGACGTAGCGTAATACAGGCCCCGGGGGCCTGGGGCCCCCCCCGAAATGGGCCGGGGCCCGAAAATTTCATAAGGGGGACCTTATGATTTTTATTTTCTCAAAAATTTTGTTGCCTGCGGCGCTATTTTTTCACGTTTTTACGGTTATTTCTAGAGCTACGCAACCTTTTTTCAAAAATTTTTGCCTGCGGCGCTGTTTCTCGTTAATCTTCTGAGTTTTTTGGAAAAATTTTTTGGGGGCCCCCCCCCGAAATTTTTTTCTGGCTACGCCCCTGGTTGGAAGGTTTAATTTTTGAATTAATTTTTTTTTGTTTTGAAAGAGTAATACTTTTTAAATTTTTGCCATTTGAAATTATTTTTGTTTAAAATTAATGGAATGAATTTTAATTTAAAGTTCATTGAATGGTTTTTAAATAATTAAAACGGATCTTTTTAAGTTTTAAAAATTGGTTAAAAAACTCCGCTTTTATCCGATTACGCCATGTATATCCCCATTTTGCAGGCCTCTACTGGATGCGGCTGAAATCGTTCGACTTTGGCGGCTTTTCCTATCGACTCGCCGGGCCAAAGTGCAAGACCATTCTCAAGTACGTTTTTTGCGTTTTGGTGCTTTTGCACTATCGGGGGAGGTCTTCCCTAGGAGCAGGTTTTTTGCTGTTTTATTTTTTAATTATTTTAATTAAGAAACACTATTTTTGCTATTCGAAAACTTGAAAACAGCACTTTTTGTCCCAAAAAAAAATTCAAAAATTTGGATTCTTCGATGAAAATTTTCAAAGTTGTGTTTTTTGAAAATTTTTAAAAACAATAAAATTTGGCTAAAAACGCTATTGAAACGCTTAATTTTACCATTACTAGGAGAAAATTAGTTTTTTTTTGCTTATTTTTTTACGATTCTTTTCTTCAAATTTTAAATGTTCTACCAGCCTTTTATTTACCTTTTTACCTATTTTTTCAATTTTCAACATTAAAAAAATGATTTTGGAATTTTTTGGGGTTAGTTCATCATTTCCAGGGCCCTAGCCGTCAACCTGCACCAGCAGAACACCCTCGAGAAGTTCAGCATCTCGTCGATAGCCCGCGAATACGAACAGGTCCGTCCCGTTGTTCATCTACAATC